CAACCGCCTTTGTCTACAGCTTGAAACAATAGGAATCTTACACACCTTCAAATTATGGCAGAAGCTGACTAGACCTAAAGGGTTACTGTTACCCTTTTTAACATATTGTTTATTTGAAGTAGGAATACCCTATTGGGTAGTCAAGCTTGGTTGCCCCTCTCCCTGTTAAAACCTGAAAAATAAGGTTTCAAACTCACTTGTAATCCAGTGCAGGGCAAGGCTCCTGGCGCTGATCTCCACTCCCCGTCTGACGTCATCGAGGGCTTTGCGTAGTCCAATCAAATGCTTCTGATAGAGAAGCATTTGATTGGAGTTTTTCACCAGCTCAGAGTCTCTCTGTCAATTATCCAAGACATCCCTTGTCCGTCTTCACATTTTTGGGCCAAGAGCCTCTGGGGTACTGTCCCCTCAACAAAGCTCACACCCATGGATGGCCTCCGATCAGCACCATTGAACTGGATCCTCTTGGGATTGTGATTATGACACTGCAAGTGGCAAGATCAATGGGAACTTATTGTGGGCTCTACTTGTGGTCTGAGGCCAACAAAACACACTAAATATTAGAACAGTATCTGTATGAAGGAACTACTATCCTAGCATGGGCATTGGTTGATGGTTATTGGGGACTTTGTATTGCTTATTCTAATTTTTTTCATTGCACCATTTCAGCTGTTTATTTTTAGTTTCATTTTGTCCCCCAGACAACTCAGTATCCTTGAGAAACCAGGATAGCGGTCCTAAAGTTTTTTCATCTAGTGGCACCTTTTTCCAAGCATTTAAGTTAGCAGATAAATGCCTAGTGTATTATTCTATAAATTTGTCAACTCTGTTACGCTTTTGTACATTGTCTATTGCTTTGTTTAATTTAAAAGTGCAGTTATGGTTTTATGTTATTATGCCAGTGTAGCAGCATACCTGTAACCCGGTGCTCAGTAACTTGACCTACGCCTCTTGTAAATGCTTATACGTGGTCCACTATGCAACCAGTTTGGCTTGTATTGACACTGTACATTTTATACTCTTATCACGGCTGCCTGTATGATCTGTGACTGCAGAAAAAGCAAAAACAAGCACAGATTTTTTTATTGGGCAGTCTGGAACTTCCTGGAGTTCAGGGCTGCTTAAGTCATGTGGGCCAGACGTGTAACTAGCCTCCAGCACAAAAAGTAATATATGTCTGAATGTGAAATGTTTCAAACAGAAACACTACATATCTAGATTCCTACCACCATGACCACTTCAAATCAATGAAATGGTCATCGTGGTTGGAGCAACCCTTTAACTGGAGACTGGTCCTATGAACGTTGCATAAAGATATCTATGTGATAAATGAAAGGTCATTGGAAAAACAATGCATCAGAAACAGGAACGATTTTGACTAAATATTCTGTGATTTGCAGGTAATAAACAGCAACTGATTTGAAGTCTGTCATCAAATGGGACAATAATAGACTTAAAGGAACACTTTAGTGTTAGGAATTCAAAGATGTATTCCTACCACTAAAGTGTCCCTCTGCCCCTGGAGCTCCCTCCCAGTTAATGAACAGATTAAAAAACCTTTTCACTCACATATCTGATTCCAGCGCCAATGTCCTTCTGTGCTGGGTCGCACTCCACCTATGTTGAGGTCAGTCGATGTGGGGGACCAAATGCACATGCGCATTGAGGTCCACGCACAGGGTAGGCCTTCTCCATAGTAAGGAATTGAATCAATGCTTTCCTATTGGGTTTTACTTGATGCTAGACATCTTTATGCAAAGCGTGAGAATATCCAGCGTCGTTTCATGGAATGAAACTCTGTGAAACTGCAGAAGGTGCCTCTAGTGACTGCCTGACAGGCAGCCACTAGAGGCAGGCTTAGCTGTGCAATGTAAAACATGTTTTAGATTGGAGGGCTAGGGGGACAGGGACACTCTACTCAGACCACTTCAATGAGGTGTGATGGATGCTTATAGTGTCCCTTTAAAACTGGCTGTAGGGTTTGTATTATGTAGCATAATAAATACCAGAAGATGATAGTGGTACATGACAAAAATTGTACCAAATGCAAGATAATTACATTAAAGTAAAAAGATGGAATGTACAGATAAAAATAGTCACAAGAATGGAAATTCCAATAAAAACCCACTTTCACTGTCAAAACCACAAACCACAAACCAGTGTCTGATAAGGATTTCGTGGCTTGAATTTAAGGGAGACTATAGTCCCCAGAACAAGAACTACAGCTTAATGTAGTTGTTCTGGCGTGTATGGTATGGCATGTATATGGTTGTTCAGAGTAAAGGCAGTGTTTACGTTACTGCCAGTGGCAGTTACTCAGATGGCCACTATAGGTACTTTCTGGATCTGTGCTGCACAATGTGTGGGAGAAGCCAGCCACGGCAGACCCACTCGGCAATGAAATAAAGGTGAGTTGTTTTTTTAATAATTTTAACGGGGGCAAGTGGAAGCTGGCCTCCTAAATGGTGTTTTTAACACTGTAGTGTCAGGAATACAAGATTGTATTCCTGACACTATAGTGTTCCTTTAAAGCAAATGCTGTAGTGTTCCTGTCCCTACTTGAAAATAGGTTCCCCAACTAACCCTGGTGCAAAAAAATAATAAAAATATTTTGCTTACCTCTCCTCCCACTGCCACTGTCCAACTGCCTCCTCTACGATGGTCCAATCTAATACTCCTCATAGAGGAGCATTAGGGACCTAATGCACATGCGTGGTGAGCGCATTTAGACTTTGAATCAATGCTGTCCTATAGGGCTTCCACGTCACGTGAGGTTTATTCATCAGTGCAGCAGAAGCGACTCATACTGAAAACTACTGGAGATAGACCTAACCCTGCAGGTTCTCAATGCACACTGAACCAAGACCACTTCATTGAGATGAAGTAGGCTGTGTGACTATAGTGTTCCTTTAAATATAATACATAACTTATATTATTTTTAAACTATAGTGACGCATTTACTTTGTGCAATTACAAAGTGCTTACGCTTACAAGCACCTTTTTACTGCTGATGTTATGAAGCTATATTTACTATTTGTATGTCAAATTTTGTTATATTTAAAGTTAAATATATTTTCTCTCTCTTTGCTATTGAGGGACAGAAAGAGTATAATATAAGCCTCCGTGTCTTTATAGAATTAAAAGTTACACTAATACAACATGTTTGGAGTGTAGGTTGGATAGCTGACTTGTTTGTAGTAGGAGATCCCTTGTATTTTAATGGAGAGTGAAATTAATGCATACAGTTCAATAAATTATAACTTAATATTTTTTCAAAATAGAATAAGAAAGAAAGACCTCTGACCATCAAAAACTTTCACCTCAAAATGTTACTCGTTTTTACAGTTTGTGTGATGTATACAGATAATGCCAAATTATAGGTACAAAGACCCATCCAAATAAGCTGATATTACAATGTGTTATAAACCGTAGGCCATAAACTGCTTTACAGCATAAAAATGCAGATAGAAAAAGTAGATATGATTTACGAGCAAATATAGCACATGCAAAATGGCAAGCAATAATCTGCCTAATATACTGCAGTTAATATGAATTTGATTAATGGATCGGGGTATGAATTAAAGGTGTTAAAGCTCATTGTAGCAGGTAAGGTGCAAAAAGCATATGGACACCATCCCGTTGATGTGTGTCAAACCATTTTTAAATGGCTTGGCAAAAAAAACAGGACTTGCTTGGTGCCTGTCACCTGCTGCTCAGCTAATAAGGAAGTGAGCTTCTGCATTAGCATGTCCAACTTTGGACAGATATGGTAGGAAGCTCTCTCAGTGCAGAGCAAAACTGGACAAGCTTCACTTTGGTATTAGCTGAGCGGAGACCAATGGTCATGCTGCTGGATTTCAGAAAGGGCTGGATTTTTTTACCTGACTTGAAAACAAGTACAAGGCCCAGAAGTCAAGTCCTAAAAACAGTGCTGTAGCTATCCAGGTTACTCACTCCCCCCCAGTCTCCCCCGAATTAATTGTTCTTGTACTGGATAACTTTGAAGCATTGCAAGCACAGGTATAAGACTTCCTAGGTCATTTTAGTGTTAATGAATGCAACAAGGATTTGCACACTTGGATTTGTGTAGCTTCTGCCATTCATCTATGCAGATCCTCTCAAGTTCCGTCAGGTAAGATGTGACCTTTTCACTTCGCGATTGGGTGTTTGATTGGGTTCCCACGCTATATCAGCTATAATATTATTTGGGGTTATTTTAGCTATAACATGTCCTCCACATAGTATCTTTATTGCTCCCACCCACCACTCATGGGTGAGGAGGACACTACCCCCCCTCCTGAATATTATATTTAGGACCCCGACCCGCTACTTGGATTTAGTCCAGATTTCAGCAATCTGTCGGTGCATGTCTGGATGAAATCCGGACTGAATTCAGGCCCATTTGGGGCCAGATTATCAAAATCTGGACATTGTTAAATAGCGTGAACAATGCCAGGATTTTCAAGTCCACTTCGCCCTGTATGCAGCCGGATGGTTTTGCCCCATTTGGTACGGTGCCATTCAGTCTTTAGTGAAAAACTCTGTGACAGTCCTTTAGGTACCTTTTTGCAAATTCCAAGCAGGCTTTCATATGTCTTACAGTGAAGACAGGCTTTCGCCTGGCCATTCTGGCATAAAAACCATATTGGTGGAGTGTTGCAGTGATGCAAGTTCCTCCCACCTCCACATATGATGTCTGGAGCTTAACCAAAATGACTATCGAGTAGTCACCTCTTTTATCAAGGCTCTACTGCTCCGATTTTCAGTTTGTCCAGGAGGCCAGCTCTAGGAATACTTCTGGCTGTTGCAAATTTCTTCCAGTTAAAAATAATGGAGGCCACTGTCCTCTTGGATGCAGCCTTCAATGCAGCCAAAAATGTTGTGTAGTCTTCTCTAGGTCTGTGCCTCATCACAATCTTGTTTATGAGCTGTGGAGGCAGACCTGAAGGCTTGGTTATTGCTCTGATATGCATTAATATAGAGCATTTATATAGATACATGTACAGAGCTGGCAAAGGCCGCTAGGTGAACTAGGCAGTTGCCTAGGGCGCACCAGACCAAGGGGCGCAGTCTCCTGGTGACCGGCTGGTGAGGAGTTCACAGCATAACACTTCCCTTCAGCCAGTCAGTCATTGTAGTGTCTATTTCTTTCTACCAGGGCTGATAGAAAGTGCTCACAAAGAGTCAAACTTATTCCTGTCAGACCAGGTGGAGGAAACAGAAGATCCCAATCTGTGGCTCGTCTACGCTACATGGAGGGAGCTAAGCTGATTTAAGGGGGGAGGCAAATAATGGGCTTGAGGGATGGGAAGAGGCACACAGAGGGCTGGGGGGGGTAAAAAATGCGCGCACATAGGGCTTGGTTGGAAAAGAGAGGTATACAGAGGGCTTGGGGGATGGGAAGAGAAGCACACAGGGGACTGGAAGGGAGAGGCACACAGAGGGCTGAGGGGAGGAGAGGCACACAGAAGGCTGAAAGGGGGAAGAGGCATACAAAGGGCTTGGGGGGCATGTAGAGGGCTGGGGGAGAGGAGACAAAGGGCTGGGGAGGGAAGGAGAGTCACATAGGAGGCTGTGGGGGGCAAAGAGGAACACAAAAGGGCTTGGGTGGACAAAAACACAGATAAGCTGGGGGGATGACAAAGAGACACACAGAGGGGCAGGGGGAAGAAGAGAGGCACCCAAATAGGCTGGGGAGAGAAAGAGACCCACAAAGGTGCTGGGGGGAAGAGACACATAGAGGGGCTGGGAAGGGAAAAAGGAGACACACAAAGGGGTTGAGGGGGAGACTAAGAGACACATAGAGAGTCCAGAGCATAAAAAAACACAGAGAAGCTTGAAGGATGACAAAGAGATTGGCACAGAGGCCGGGGTAAGAAGAGGGTCACACCAAGAGACTGGGGGGAGAAAAAGAACTACAAACATCCTGGGGGGCTGGGGAAGGGAAAAAAGAGACACAAAAGGGGGCTAAGTTACACACAGAGGGGCTGGGAGTAAAAAAGAAATAATGCTGGGGGGGAATACACACAGATGGCGTTGGGGAACAAAGAGACACACAGAGGGGCTGGTGGAGAAGAGAGACACATAAAAGGATCTGGGGAGAAAGTGACACACAAAGGGAGGGGTTGGGGCAGGAGACACTCGGGGGAAGGGGGGGAGAATGAGACCTGTAAAGGTGCTGGGTGGAAGAGACACATAAAGGAGTTGGTGGAGAAATAGACACACAAAGGCTGGGAGATACAAGAGATAACGTTGATTGGCAATTTTTTTTATTGTTTTTGGGAGGGATGCAAGTAGCTGGCTTTACCTAGGGTGTACAAAAGTCTTGCATTTGCCCTGTAGGGGAATATATTTCAAAATTATGTTTAATCAATTGAATTTACCACAGATGAACTCAAAAGAAACATCTTAAAGGTGAACCAGAGAAATTAGATGCATCTGAGCTAAATGTCATAGCAAAGAGTCTGGTTTTTGCTTGCTTTGTCAATATGGGATATTGAATGCATAATGATATGAAGAAAAAAAAATATTTAAACAATTGCAGCATAAGGCTACAATATAAAAAAAGTGAATAAATTAAGGAGTCTGAATACTTTTTGGATGATATGTAGATGAAAAGCAGAATGCACTGTAGACGTTAAGGTTTCTTCCAAAATAAGCAATGGAGGCTGGTCCATAGTTGTAGGTGCCATCCCCTCCCAGTTTTCATTGCATTAAAGAAAGAAATCAAATCTATTGGCATCATAAGGACTACCGATAAGTGTGTGTTAGTTTCTATTCTTCCCTTTATTGATGACTGGAAATGCAACTGGTTTCAATACGGCAAGGCACCTCATGAGGTTAAGAGGGTAGAGCCCAACAAGTGGGGGAAAAGTAGCACCCGACTACATTTAAACTTCACCAACTGCAACTGTTATGAGGGATATTTTCCATTTTTACGATGTTCATGAACAGGAGCAGGAGGGCTTCAATTGCATTGTTGTCGATCTACATTCTTTTTTATTTTTTCTTGAGTGACTACATCTTCAATCGGTGCTGCTGTTGAGGTCTGGAAGCTACTAACTTGGACTGTATAGACTGAAATAGACAAAAAGAATCAAATGCAGAAACAGTGGTGGAGAGGCACCCTCTGTTTATGATAAAGACATTTTTAATGGAAAATGAAATCATTAGTGGTGACTTAAATTACAAACTTTAATATATTCTGATAGCAGATCACAAAATGCCAATTAAAAATCAATCATTGCACATTTTGGAAAATTAATGAAATATTTATATCTGTTATACAGTACATCTGTGGACAAAACTGATCCTTAAAATATAGAGTTTTTGGAACCCTTCCATTGCCAGATGAGACTAACAGGGTTATTAACAAAATAATTTTGAATGTAGGGCCAGATAAGCAAAACTGAAAACATAGCTGACTTACAGAAATTTTTACAGTTGAGCTATTTTAACCTTAAAGGAACATAAACATGTATTTCAGACCCTATAGTGTTAAAACCACCATTTAGGTGGCTTCCCCCCTTAAAAGATAAGAAAACGTATCTTATTTCCAGCGATGCGCGGGTCTGCCAGCGCTGGCCTTGCCTCCGACCCGCCATCAGAATTTATGATTTTAGCAAATCCCCATAGGGAAAGCATTGGATTGGCTGAAATTGGCAAGGAGAGGAGGCGGGAGCGGGGCCAAATGCCAGCTGGGCCTATCAGCACCACCTCATAGAGATGCATTGAATAAATGTATCTCTATGAGAAAAATTCAGCACGGATATGTCGAATGGCAGCACTGCCCCAGGAAGAACCTCCAGTGGCCATCTGAAGAGTGGCCACTGGAGGTGTCCCTAGGGGGCAATGTAAACACTGCCTTTTCACTGAAAAGGCAGTGTTTACATAAATATGCCTGCAGGGAATGATTATCCCCTTCACGACCGAGGACGGTTCAGGACCGTCATCGGCATTTTTGCCTTGCAGACCGATGATGGTCCTGGACCGTCCTAACGGTCTGAGTTACTTACCTGATCGCCGTCGTTCCCCTGGCGGCGATCAGCGTGGCTCCGGTTGTGGGGAGACTGCCTGCAGCCCAAACAGTCTCCCCACACTGAATTAGGACCCCTGTGGCCATGTGATTGCTCAACACAGCGATCACATGGTCACAATAGGTGTCCATGTGTCTGCCTGCAGGGGGACTGTCTGTGCTCACAAGCAGTCTCCCTGCTAGTGTAAAATAAAAAAATAAAATAAAGTTAGTGTTAATAAAAAAAAATAAAAAATTATATATGTGTATATATGATATATAGACATATATTATATCTATATAATATATGTCTATATATCATATATATATATAATGCCATACTAAGTGTATTTTTATATTAATATGTACTTATATTAATATAAAAATACACTTATAATTAAATTACACACGTATATATATATATAATATATATAATAACTATATATTGTATATATATTATTATAAAATATAAATAATAAGTAATTTAAATTAAATAAAAAATTTTTAAATAATAATAAAAATTTAAAAAAAATTATATATCTATATGAAATTTTATTCTAACTGTATTTTAAAATTAATATATATATATTTATATCAAAATACACTTAGAATGAATTTGTATATATATCTATGTATATAAAAATAAATAAAAATAATACGAAATATACATATGTCCATATACAAAATTACATAAATAATTATATAAATATACACGTAGACTTCAAATATATAAATATGCATATATATTTAAATTCTACGTGCGTATTTATGTAATATTTTTACATAATTCAGTAATTTTATTGATTGCAATTTGAGGGACCTGCCTGCCAACCCAGGCCGAAATTCCAGAGAATTTAATTTGCTAGCACTGTATTTTACCCTGTAACGTTCTACGACACCCTAAAACCTGTACATGGGGGGTACTGTTTTACTCGGGAGACTTCGCTGAACACAAATATTAGTGATTCAAAACAGTAAAACATATCACAGCGATGATATTGTCAGTGAAAGTGACTTTTTTGCATTTTTCACACACAAACAGCACTTTTACTGATGATATAATTGTTGCGATACGTTTTCCAGTTTTTAAACACTAATATTTGTGTTCAGCGATGTCTCCCGAGTAAAACAGTACCCCCCATGTACAGGTTTTATAGCATTTTTAAAAGTTACAAGGTCAAATATTTTTACATTGAAAATGGCCAGGTTGGTTACGTTGCCTTTGAGAGCTTATGGTAGCCCAGGAATGAGAATTACCCCAATGATGGCATACCATTTGCAAAAGAAGACAACCCAAGGTATTGCAAATGGGGTATGTCCAGTCTTTTTTAGTAACCACTTGGTCACAAACACTGGCCAAAATTAGCGTTCAATTTAGTTTTTTTACGTTTTTCACACACAAACAAATATGAATGCTTACTTTGGCCAGTGTTTTCGACTAAGTGGCTACTAAAAAAGACTGGACATACCCCATATTGAATACCCTGGGTTGTCTACTTTAAAAAAAATATGTAGATGTGGGGTGTTATTCAGAGATTTATGACAGATAATAGTGTTACAATGTCACTATTGATAAATTTTAAAAATGTATGTTTTGAAACCGCAATATCCTACTTGTACCTATAGCCCTATAACATGCAAAAAAAGCATGTAAACACTGGGTATTTTTAAACTCAGGACAAAATTTTGAATCTATTTAGCAGTTTTTTTCATTCTCTTTTGTAGATGAGTGTAACGGAGCTCCTTGTACTCCGACTGAGTACCCTCCCTTGACGGATGCTCCTAGCGCTTCCTGAGGACTCCAAGCACTGCAGCAGACACCACAACCACCGCAGACTCCGCAACCGCCGTATCTTGACTGGAGTCTCGCCGTCTTCCTTCCACCCTGGATCAGCTTCTGTCCTCCAGAACTGTGTGGGAAAGAACTCTTCCTTCCACCCTGTATGAACCTCCAGCATCCAGGACTGTGTGTGGTGAAGACCCCTCCTCCAAGGAGAGCATGTCAGGAACAAGCTCTTAAAAGAGCTAAGTGACTCAAGCTCAGGAGAGCATGCAGAGCATAACAATCCCCAGTGTGATTATAACAGCTCCCTCCAATAACGAGACAAGGCTACATTTAGAGGGATCAAGAAGAACTGTCAAAACCTTTATTTCCCTTGGGACCAGCCAATAGGGTCACCACAATAACATTGTTGTGAAACCTCAATAAAATCACAAACAGTCAAACCATATTAAGCCACACACAGTGACTTATCACAACACAATGGCACATTTTTAAAGCGGTGGGGGGAGACAATATTTAACAGTAAATATCTCACCTGCCTGCAGAATTAGCAATATGCAAATCTACCTGAATATGCAAATGAACCAGTCTTGCAAATCAGGTAGTGCATATTGCTGTTGCTACCAACAGAGGGCACTAGACAAGCTCCATAGCCAAACCCACCTAGTTGGTAGCAAACCTCAGCAGTACAGGAGAGCAGGCAATACATTTCAAAGTACACACACACACTATAAACAATTACATTACACACACCCTGCACCTATAATGGGTACAGGGTGACTAAAACATAAGATAAATAAAGCAGCCTACATAAATAGTCGGTCTGAGGGTAGACTAGGGGCTTTAAAGCCAAATACATGAAAGAGTCATAGTCACAGGGGAGGAGGCTGGCAAGCAGGCCTCTCCAGGACCAAGTGGCGAAGGACTATCCAGGCACCTGACTTTCTGCCTAAGTTAGTCGATTCACCCACCGACCATAAGCAAAAGCCAGAGTAGCCCACCCACAACAAACAGTTATTAGAGCAGCCCACCCACAGCAAACAGTGACTGCACCTGGGTATTCCTCTGGGGTGATGGGGCAACACGCTGTGGGGACTTGAGGGGCAGAGGCCAGCGGCGCTCTGCCCTGATGTCAGCGCTTCTGCTGGGAGGAGGGGGGTGCAGGCCAGTCCTGTGACAAGGGGATCGGTAGGGCAGAGGCCAGCGGCGGTCCGCCCTGATGCCAGCTCTTCTGCTGGTATAGCCTGCAGGACATCAGGCTCTGGACAAGGGACAAAGGGAGGGCAGAGGCCGACTGCACTCTGCCCAGCTGCCAGCTCTTCCGCTGGGGGGCTTGGGACATAGTCCGGCTCAGTAGCCAGGGGAATGTGGGGGTCAGTGGGGGTTAACATCTCCCCTGTTAACCCTGGGGCCAAGTTAGGAGTTAGCTGGGATGGGGAATTCGTACTTACCCCCTCCTCCTGTTGTCCCTGTGAGGGTAGTTGGGGATCTGGATAGGCTGTCCAGCATCCCTGTAGGTCGGGCACAGAGACCACGGTCCCTTCTGCGCCATCTGGGAGATTGGTGTCTCCCCTTGGTAGGGTAAGCTGCCGCTGGGGAGATAGGGTGCTGTGCTCCTCTCCCTGAAACACAGGCTGCCGCTGGAGAGGGAGACCGCCTGTCTCCACTCCCATAACATTGTCCTGCTGCTGGAGAGAGAGACTAACTGTCTCTGCTCCCTGTAGGACACACTGCTGCTGGGGAGGAAGGACGACACCTTCGGCTCCCTGTAACTTGCACTGCCGCTGGGGAGGAAGGACGACACCTTCGGCTCCCTGTAACTTGCACTGCCGCTGGGGAGAGAGACCAACTGTCTCTGCTCCCTGTAGGACACACTGCCGCTGGGGAGTTAAGACGACACCTACGGCTCCCTGTAACTTGCACTGCCGCTGGGGAGGAAGGACGACACCTTTGGCTCCCTGTAACTTGCACTGCCGCTGGGGAGGAAGGACGACACCTTCAGCTCCCTGTAACTTGCACTGCCGCTGGAGACTAGGTGTCCATATCCTCAACCTCCACAGTTGTCGCTCAAAGGCCATTGCCGCACTGTTCTCAGCACTCAACTGGCGCCTTACTTGGTGGACCACCTCGTTCGAAAGGTCTGAGCCATAGCAGACCAACCGCCTCTTTACCTCCTCAATGTAAGCGTCGTCCTCGTAGCGACGTATCATGTTGAGGTGCTCTTCGCAGGGCTCTATCCATCCCTGCTCCATGCTGCTGTAGTTAGGGACGCTGCACAGTGGCTAGCGTTGCCCTCAATAACCTCTCATATGATACCAGTGTCTCCGAGCTGCTTCTCCTCGCACTAGGACGCCATCCCACCGCTGCCACCAATGTAACGGAGCTCCTTGTACTCCGACTGAGTACTCTCCGTTGATGGATGCTCCTAGCGCTTCCTGAGGACTCCCAAGCACTGCAGCAGACACCACAACCACCGCAGACTCCGCAACCGCCGTATCTTGACTGGAGTCTTGCCGTCTTCCTTCCACCCTGGATCAGCTTCTGTCCTCCAGGACTGTGTGGGAAAGAACTCTTCCTTCCACCCTGTATGAACCTCCAGCATTCAGGACTGTGTGGTGAAGACCCCTCCTCCAAGGAGAGCGTGTCAGGAACAAGCTCTTAAAAGAGCTAAGTGACTCAAGCTCAGGGGAGCATGCAGAGCATAGCAATCCCCAGTGTGATGATAACAGCTCCCTCCAATAACGAGACAAGGCTACGTTTAGAGTGATCAAGAAGAACTGTCAAAACCTTTATTTCCCTTGGGACCAGCCAGTAGAGTCACCACAATAACATTGTTGTGAAACCTCAATAAAATCACAAACAGTCAAACCATATCAAGCAACACACAGTGACTTATCACAACACAATGGCACATTTTTAAAGGGGTGGGAGGAGACAATATTTAACAGTAAATATCTCACCTGCCTGCAGAATAAGCAATATGCAAATGAACCAGTCTTGCAATTCGGGTAGTGCATATTGCTGTTGCTACCAACAGAGGGCACTAGACAAGCTCCATAGCCAAACCCACCTAGTTGGTAGCAAACCTCAGCAATACAAGAGAGCAGGCAATACATTACACAGTACACACACACACACTATAAACAATTACATAACACACCCTGCACCTATAATGGGTACAAGGTGACTAAAACATAAGATAAATAAAGCAGCCTACATAAATAGTCTGTCTGAAGGTAGACTAGGGGCTTTAAAGCCAGATACATGAAAGAGTCATAGTCAAAGGGGAGGCGGCTGGCAAGTAGGCCTATCCAGGACCAAATGGCGAAGGGCACTTCGTCACAATGAGTAAAAGATTTTTCAAGTAAAAGTCAAAAAACATGTATTTTTTTCAATTTTTCATCATATTTTTTTATTTTTTTAAAATTAAAATACATGAGATTATATAAATAATGGTATGTAAAGAAAGCCCCTTTTGTCCTGAAAAAAAACCATAGGCGTGCGCACGGGCACACCCTAATCCCCGTGGCACGCCTATGGTTTGAGTCCTGCAGGAACAGCGTTCCTGCAGGCACTCAGTGCCCCCTGTTTCACCTCTTGCCCCTGTCATGGGGAGGGCAAGAGGTGATGGATTTCCCCCCCACTCAGCGCGCGGCGAGGGAGCTCTCTGCTGTCTGCTCTCTGCTCCCTCTCGCCGCGCGCTGATGCCGGGAGCCGGAATATGACGTCATATTCCGGCTCCCAGCTCCAGCAGACAGCCCGCGCGGCGAGAGGGAGCAGAGAGCAGACAGCAGAGAGCTCCCTCGCCGCGCGCTGAGCTGCAGAGAGGCGCCCGCCCCCACTGGACCCCAGGGAAAAGTCCACCAGCACTCCAGGTAGGAGGCTGGGTGGACATTTAAAAAAAAAATTAAAATATAATAATTTGTGTGTGTGTGTGTATGTGTGTCAGTGTGTGTGTGTGTGTCTGTGAGTGTGTCTGAGTATGTGTGTGTGTCAGTGTGTGTGTGTCTGTGAGTGTGTGTCTGTGAGTATGTGTGTGTCTGTGAGTATGTGTGTGTGTCAGTGTGTGTGTCTGTGAGTATGTGTGTGTGTCTGAGTATGTGTGTGTCTGTGAGTGTGAGTCTGTGAGTATGTATGTGTGTGTGTCTGTGAGTGTGTGTGTCAATGTGTGTGTGTGAGTGTATGTGTGTGTCTGTGAGTATGTATGTGTGTGTGTGTGTGTCTGTGAGTGTGTGTGTGTGTGTATGCGTATATATATATATATATATATATATACACACACACACCACACCTACCTTAATATGTATTAATACGTATATATATATATATATATATATATATACACACACACACACACGCAGAACCGGCGCTATCTGAGTGCCAGCTCTGCTCTAAGCCTTCATGGGCCGGCGGGGAGACCAAAGATCTACCTCACCAGCCCACAGCAGCATGGAGGGAGGCAGTAGAGGACCCAGGCAGCTCTAGACAGAAGCTCCGCCAGGTTCCTCTGCGGCAACGCTCAGATCTCGCGAGAGTTAACTCTAGCCCCGCAGGCTAGAGTTCACTCTCCACTAGACCACCAGGGATGGCACATGGCAGCAAGGATTTACTAATCTGCCAAATCCCTCCAAACATACAGCACACACACATACAGCACCTACACACATACAGCTCACACACACACAGTACACTAACCGCACCCTCACAAACACACACAGCACCTTTAAAAAAAACACAACACCCTCACACACAGCACACTAACAGCACCCTCACAAACAGCACCCTCACAGGACAAACATACACACACAAACACCCTCACACACAAACAGCACAGTCACAAACACGCACCCTCACACACACATCACAATAACAGCACACACAGCAGTGTGTGTGTGTATATATATATAGATAGATATATACACACACACGCGCGTGGCGTGTGTTTGTGCTTTAGGGTGCACACCATAATGCAATAGGCTGCGCACGCCTATGAAAAAAATAATATATAATTTGTATGGGAACAGTAAATGAGAAAGTGAAAAATTACAGCCAAACACAAACACCACAAAAGTGTAAAAATATGCCTGGTCACAAATGTACAACATCGCAAAAACAGTCCAGTCCTTAAGGGGTTATACTCACCAGAAAAACTACATTAGTTTGTCTGGTGACTATAGTGCCTCTCTAAATTTGTATTTCTTTTTCTATTCACACTGATCTCTCACTTTAGTGAAGAACCATGTTTGACTCTTTAACTTGTGTAGAGTGGTCCTGGTCAGGAATGGGTTAAAGCGACATTAGGAGTAGTGAGAGAATTGTATACTGATGGTAACCTAGTGAAACACATTTTTACTGCTTGCTATACAGGTGCTGACAAACAAGCACTACTTTATGAGACTATGGTCGTATCATTATATACGTTTCATATAACCAGAATGTTAAAACATATCAGAATGTGAGGTTATGTCTTACATTAGTTTTAAAGGTCATAAAGTTACTGATTATGTTAAATGGCTCTTCAATGAAACAGCACTCCGAGCCTCATGTAAATAAGTAAAGGTTATAGTACTTGCTGGTTATGAATTTTGCAGCTGTATGAGGCACTGTATTTAAAGGGACACTGTAGGCACCTAGACCACTTCAGCTAATTGAAGTTGTCTGGGTGCTGTGTCCCTATTGCACTTAGTGCTGCAATGTTTACATTGCAGCTCTAAGTTTCCCCTCAGTGACTGTCTACCAACTGGGAGGGGGCAAAGAGTCACAGAGGGGCAGGGGCCAAAAGGACAGCCAGGGGCTTGGGGAGGAGACACACACAGGGGCTGGAGGGGACGCAAGGAGACAGAGAGTGGCTGCGGAAGGGGTAAAATAGACAGAGGCTTTAACTAAACCAGTTAGATTTTAGTTGTGTCGACTGGAGATTTCGTCGACTTAAAGGACCACTCTAGGCACCCAGACCACTTCAGCTTAATGAAGTGGTCTGGGTGCCAGGTCCTTCTAGGGTTAACCCATTTTTTAATAAACATAGCAGTTTCTCAAACTGCTATGTTTATCAATGGGTAAGCCTTCCCCCTAATCTTCTAGTGGCTGTCTCATTGACAGCCACTAGAGGGGCTTGCGTGCTTCTCACTGTGATTTTCATGACATGAATGCTTTCCTATGCGACCGGCTGAATGCGCGCGCAGCTCTTGCCGCGCGTGCGCATTCAGCCCAGGAGGAGGATCGGAGGAGGAGAGAAGGAGGAGAGCTCCCCGCCCAGCGCTGGAAAAAGGTAAGTTTAACCCCTTTTCCTCTCTCCAGAGCCGGGCGGGAGGGGGACCCTGAGGGTGGGGGCACCCTCAGGGCACTATAGTGCCAGGAAAATGAGTATGTTTTCCTGGCACTATAGTGGTCCTTTAAACTAAAACAATTCAGATTACATAAATACGACTAAAACTAAAATGGCTTTTTAATCAAAAGACTATGACTAAAACTAAATTGAAATTCGTTGTCACAATTAACACTGGTATTTACCCTTCACCACACTGCACAAAAACCTTACCCAAGTGGCAATACACACTGTGCTGTATAATTATGTTAAAGTGGCACTTTCACTAACTATGTAACTGGGGGTGCAATAATTCTTATTTTGCATTACAGGGGACTCTGGGTTAACAATGATATAATACCAAAATTAGATCCTTCCACTTAATGTATGATGTCATTTCCATATACCATCAATGGGACACTGCGTCTGTGTTCGTCTTCAATATCTGTACACAGAACCCATGCTTCTGACAGACACACCTCTTAACCTCCACACCCTTTTTCTTTCACCAGAGTCACTGGCCTTGTCGTGTTAGTGACTTCTGCTCTGAGTTTATCAAACATTTACAGCTGGGGTTAATGGTTAACCCCTCATTCCTGGGATGGGCTTCGCTCTCCCTCCCAGAACGTCAAAAAGATAGGAGGCACGAATTCAAAACTCTCATTTGACTTCTGAGCTGCCCAGGTGAACCGTCAAACACCCCTCTGTTCGGGATACTCTGGTGAGTCTTCGTGCAATATACCCAGAGGTTGTTGGGAAAAGGTTGGTGGTGGGATCTTTGTACATTTGCATTTTAGTATGAGAATCAAGAGCCACAATATGATATAAAGGTTTTCCATTAGAAACATAGAACATAGAAACATAGAATGTGACGGCAAATAAGAACCATTTGGCCCATCTAGTCTGCCCAATTTCCTAAATACTTTCATTAGTCCCTAGTCTTATCTTATAGTTAGGATAGCCTTATGCCTTTTAAAATGAGTTAATCATAAAAGAGACACATGTGACAATTTCGTAGTATAGTTAACCCTATATAGCACATTAGATTTAATGCAGGGGTGCCAAAAAGGTAGATCCCCGGATGTTTTAAAACTACAGCTTAATGCTTTGTCATTCTAAAGACATTCTAAAGGCAAGCAAAGCATCATAGGCGTTGTAGTTCTACAACATGTGGGGATCTACCTTTTGAGCACCCCTGATTTAATGGCTGGTTGTGAGACATGAGAAAAAGAAACACGCACATATATATATATATATATATATATATATATATATATATATTCCACATGCATGTAAAGCAATTGTGCAGCCACATACAGAACATAGTTGCCGAATAAAGTGATTTAATAATGTCAGTTATATAACAGCAGAGAGACAGTAAGAGAGCACATGCTATTAAACAAATTCCTGGCAAAACGTTGCCAAATCTATCTAGTTTAGTAGTAAATAAATATCCTGTGTATACGTCATTGTGCAAATAGCAGAAAAAAAACTTACAGATATTGTAGGGAGAAAACCAAAATGAAATAATAGAAATTGTAACTGAAAAGGAATGACCAAATAAGGCAATGCTGGCGATATTGTTGTTAGTTGGTAACAATAATTGAGATTTAGAGGGCGACAGACTGATGCCATCATGGTGGCATTATGACACACCTTCATACAGTGAACAGTGCAGCGTTCTGAAGAGATAAGCAGTGTTCTTGCACAGAATATTCTCCTTAAAGGTCACCTATTAACATACACTAGAGAGGAGAATATTACCGGTTTGAACTTTGCCATCTGAACACGAGGTGTGTATCAGTAGCATGCGTGGCACCTTGATAGGATACTGGAGTAGTAGTCAAAATTTAATCTGTATGTATATATCCATACATACATACATAGGAAATCAGGCATTTGACAGCTGGGTTTTTTATTCTCTCTATCTTCACTGAGGCTGATAGAATGAAGTCTACTCAGCGAACACCTAACTGTACTTAATTGAAACCTGAATTGCAAAGTTTAGACTACAATAACCATGTCTTGATTACTGCAGAGCAGGGTGATTTTTTTTCCACATTAACATATTTTTGCCTAAATTTTGCAATTTGGTTTTCTATTGACTATAGTTCAGTTTTAAATTAGATTACTATGTGGTAAGTATTGCATTAAAAGTAGTCAAACTCACAGTATTAAAGGCACATTTTTTCACCCTGAGATTACTGTTAATAATAATAATAATTAAAAAAAAAAACCTTTGAATGACAGAAGTGTGACCCACACAATTGCTTTGCAATCTATTGGTCACATCATTGGCACTCAAAGGGTTCATATCTCTAAAGGCAAGGATATGAAAGCAACAGAACGTAATTTCCTTGGAATAGCGGGTATCAGAGGCTATCAATCTATAATAATGCTGTGATTTATAATTTATATTAATCCTGTGATGTATAGGTTAACATTAAAGTGACAATTTAGGCACCATAACAATTTCATCAAAATGGCGTTGTTATGTTGCCCAAATCCTTCAGGTTGCACTCTTACTGTAAGGGGTTAAACCGTTCTTGAATTATTTAACCCCAAAGCGAGCCTCCAGCGCCGATTCTACAGGTCCCCCAGATGGCATCTAAATCTCTGTTTCAGGAAGCTCAGAGTGGCGCCAGGCAGGGGTGCCGCTCTTTTGCTAAGGGCCGTCAGCTGGCGCTCTGAGTCAATCAGTGACTCCCCATTCACAAAACTGGCTTGAAAAGAAATGAAGTGCCTGGGGGACCTGAGGATTAGTGTTTTTTTCTGCAGTGAGGCACTTCATCAGAAATGTTTGTGTTCGTGGGCAGCACTCATTTTTCACTGAGATAATTTTTCACTGAGATAATATAGCCTTTTAGTTGTGTAATCGATGTTAATACTGGGTTAAACCTGGGGCGCTTCTGTCTTCCTTCCCTCTTACCTTTGCGCATTACATCATGCACAGGGTAGAGGAGGGATTATGTTCACTACAGCTTAACTTCATGCTGTCAGTAGATAAAGGTGCGGTTACCGCTGCAGATCTCACGCGGGCCGCACCTCGATGTCCGACGGGCTGCGTTTGGCTCGCGGACCCAAAACTAAAGAAAACTGGTCAATCCCATATTTTTTTTACCTTCTACTTACTTTCTACTTATTCACTGAAGTAATACTTGCAGGGAATTATAAGTAAATTCAAAGTAAATTTGAAATTTAAGGTCAAAATAGCACAAATGGAAAAATTCTTCAAGTCACCTATTCCTTTCAGTTCGGCTCCTTTGGCCTACAATATGAAATGCACTTTGAATTTTCTGCAATTTTCACTTCAGTGAATAACCCTGTAATTATAATGTTCATTTTTAGACCGTGCAATTGGAAAGTGCATCACATAATCCCTTTATTGTTTTCTAGCAAAATACTGTTGTACGTAATTAAGGATGGAGATTCACAGGAGATTGCCCTCCATTTTAGATCAGTACTCTGACACCAGATGATAGGAGGTCACAAACAGACAAACACAATGCAGGGCACTGTGCAGTAATTCAGCACCTTTGATACATATCTTAGTGCAGGCATAGGCAACCTTCGGCACTCCAGATGTTTTGGACTACACCTCCCATGATGCTTTGCCAGCATTATGGGTGTAAAAGCATTATGGGGAATGTAGTCCATAACATCTGGAGTGCCGAAGGTTGCCTATCCCTGGCTTAGTGTTTACAACATTTGTAACCTTAAAGCAGCACTGTCACTAAAAATACATTTCAACTAATCTGCTACTATAGAGCCTTCTGTGTCTGAAATTATTTTTATAAATTTTTTTTTTTTACAAAATACACAGTGAAAAGTAGGGACTGGGCCGCAGAGGTAGGCAACCTTCAGTGCTCCAGATGTTGTGGACTACATCTCCCATAATGCTCTTACCGCCATAATTCTGGCAAAGCATCACGGGAGGTGTAGTCCACAACATCTAGAATGCAGAAGGTTGCCTATCCTAAGTGGGCAAAATCTGAAAGTGGGTGGAGCTTTTAAGTATGGTTTTGTTTCCGTTGACAATCAAATTTAGCCACAACCCATCAGTGAAATAAATCCCACAGAAGGGCAAAAAGCAGACATCATGGACAGAGGGGAAACAAAATGGCTGTACCCATAAGGAAAGGAAAATCAACAGATATTAAACATAGGAGAGTAAAGACATATTGTCTAAAATGATGCAGAATGACACCATACTAAGAAAGCATGAATTATCCATAATAACACATTGCCTTCAAATGGCTTTTATTTCTGAAATGTAGCTGGTGTTGAAGAACTGGCTATTTTAGAAACATGCATCTCCCAACAGACTAGGAAACAGTACTTTAAAATATTTCCATATATATATATATATATATATATATATATATATATATATATACAATAAGGTAAGAATATTTTGTAAAAGTGTGCACCTTTCCAGTTAAACAATGCAGATGTATTTATTTTGCATGCTACATGGATGTATGATCCTTTTATCCTACAGCTTTTTCCTAGAAGTATTTAATCTAGTGTAAATACTATATGGTGCTAGCATGGGCCTAGCAACACTGGCAGAGGTTGTATATAGGAGAGACATTTGTAAATGTGGCACAAAATAGAACTACCACAATGTTATTATATAGCAGGGTTTTTTTTTATTTTACTTATACTTAAAAATAATGTGCAAATTCCCTGCATTGTGTCCCTTAGCTTATTTATCCATTAAATCCACTACTTGCATTAAAATAATTAAAATCATAATTTTTTTGCATAGTATCACCTAAAACCTAGAGATTTTTATATATGTTGTGATTATTACATGATCTGCTTATTATTATTTTAACACGCATGTCATGTTATTTAAATCCTGTAAATCACAGGGATGACATCATTACCTGTAATTTATTGGGAAGACATTAGTCCAATGAGTTACTAGATTTATGGATTGGGAAGAAACCCGCTTTTTGGATTTGCAAGCAGAGAAAAGAAAGGGACAGTAGTCTATTCTCATGGTCACTGATATATGTAATGTAATGATGGCTATGACTGAGGACTGACAGGAGTGAGCCATGGCTGCACTTGCTTGCACTCTATTTCTGCTCCCAATAACCAATGCTTTAAATATGCTGACAGCTTATGGTTATGCCAGCCAGTTGCCCCCAAATGTTTCTGGATATATACTTCACCATGTTCAAAGGCAGTACTCAATTGTACAGCTCTGCAGTATGAGGAAATCATGCACTGCAAGAAGAAGGTCAATTAATCACACAGCAATCCCTTAGGAACTTCCTCAACTCATTTCTCCCAGCAGGATATGAATGCTGCATACTCTAGCATACTTTCTATAACCATCCATCACCACATGGAATTGATACTTTTCTAGAAACATTTGGCAGGCTTGTGCTGGTAGGAAATTGATTAGTAAAAAAGGAAGCCTGCACTTTCCATGTGCTCTCCATGTCTTTTAATGTGAAGAAGTAAAAACATGGTTGATCTGGTAAAGTTAAAGCAGCACAGTGCAGTTTTTGTAGACAGAAGCCTGATGCGTGCAAACAAGTGATCATGGTTTCACAGAGGGGTGTGTAAAGTAAAGAACCAAGGTGTACTACAACCTTTTTATTGTCCTGCTGGGTGCGGCAGTGTGTACGTGCACAAAGTACACATTTTATTGTGTAGAAATATGTTATGGAAAGGCTGTATCACTGGTGCTTACTGGCAGAGTCATTAATATGGTGTATTGTCAGGAATTCAACGTTAAGTTCTAACATTTGACCAAAATTGAAAACATTCACTTTGAAATCAATTCACTTTGATCTCCCAACAATTCACACTTTAGTAAATAACTCCATTTGCGTAATCAGAACCTGGGATATTTTGAACACCTAGTCATTCATTCTAAAATTTCAAAATACCTAAAGTACAAAAACTAAATTTCAAGTGTCCCTCTTCAACTTACAGTACCTTTATGGAACCCATATCCTTTTGCCCATCTTTGAAAACCTAGTACCATCTCTACAACACTCCACAGCAAAAACAAACCTCAAAACAAAATATATATATTTTTTTGAATTACAATAAAATGTTTTATAACCTAATATTTGTGGTTGTTCATGTTCTGAATTATTTATCCAATTTATTATCCAGGGTGCTTTAAAAAAATGTGTTTACGGGCAGCTAGTGGTATAGAAACAGCACAATATTTTATATATAAAATATTGCGAAAGAGAAAAGCAGACTAGGAGACCATGTACCCACTTATAGGACATGCCTTTGATGCATGTTACCGGTGGCATGTGGATGGTATGATCAATAAATGGACGTTTCAGAAAATGGTGCGTGCAAGGCAGTCTGACCCTGAGCCTTGCCAGCCTGGCATGTATATGCTCTCAGATAGGCAGAAATGCATAATAATGGCAATCAGATATACATGTACTGCACTTCCTGCAGACTATTCTCTGATATACCCAGAAGTGCTTAAACCAGGAATTTTGGGGTTAATAGATGACTTTTTAGGGATACTTAATTTTTCCTTTATTCATTTATGGTTTGAAGAAAAATTGGTGGAATAAAATGATCTAGGCACTACACTTTGTTTTTTTACTTATTGGCCCTGTAACCTTTAGAATTTATCGGACAGAGAACAATATATATTTGTGGGGTCTCTGAAACCATTGCACAGGTACTATTCTTTTTGAATTCCATTATGTTCATATTACTTAGTATTTGTTTTTTTCTTGTTTGAAAGTGTTTATTGTTAGAGGGACATCATGGGACAGTGACGTGACCGCAACACAGATTCAGTGGGGATAAGTATGTTTTTAATCTCCACTGTGTTGGTCGCCCCAATAAATGCTGCAGTAGCCTTTACTTGGGTGTTGGAACAGTGTTTTAATAAAAAACACTTATTTGTTGTTCTTTTAACCCTTATTGGCATGCCTGCCCCTTTATTTTGAATAAAAAAAAAAAAAAAAGGAAACTCACCTGTAATCCAGCGCTGAGGTACAAGTTCTCCCTGCTGCCTGAGCCTCCTTTTGTCATCCCACCCTTTCTTACTGCAGAGAGGGAGGGCTCTGCAGCCCTGCACGTACTGACTGCAAGCACCATGGCAACTTCAAATCAGTGAAGTGGTGATAGTTCCTGGACTAACCCTTTAAGAGCATAATTGCATCCAACACTAAGCACTTTTTTTTAGCATAATGCATTCTGCGACAGAGCACATTTTAAATATATAATACTTTCCTTGCAGTTTGTTTAATCAACCTCTTCAGTATCAAAAACATGTATACACGTTTTTACTTGTGTTTGGCACTGCAAAGAAAAAAAAACAATATTCAGTTCATAATGCGGCATTTGACTTTCTTTATACTCTAGGAAAAATTTTAAGCTTGAGTCTGAGATGAATAGTATAGTCCACCCCCACCTACCATGCAGTAAAGGTAGCTACAAAGAATAAATATATTTTTTCTTAATTGTAGCAGGGAAGGGTGAGTTACAGTCGGAAGATGTCACTGGGGACTGTGGGTTGCTACAACACTTTTCAAATCTCTGTACGAATATATACCTGTACATCATATGTTTTACTAATACATGATGTAACTGTACTTACTGTATATGGGAATATGTTTACATTATATATCTATTTTTAAGAAGCTGTATTGCTAGCTTTGTATTTAATGTTTGAAATAAATGTTATAATATTTTAAAAACAAAAAGTGCTTGGTATTGAAGGGTTTAAACTCTAAAAAAAAAACCCTGAAGACACCTCCTTTTATAATGTACCAATTATTTTTTAAGCAATAACGATTTCAATATGTTCAGTATATCCCCTATGTCTCACATTTACATTCTTTTGTGTTTCTAGGTATGAGGTCAGTGAGCATTGAAGACTTCTAGTACACAAAACTTCACTCTTAGACATGATGAGGCTCAGGACTTGTAACAGCAACTCCATGTGGAAAGTGGATAGAATATTCCGGTGGAGATGCTGTTATCTGTATTGGGCTTCCTATATTCTTCAATAGATCTCCCACATACGAGGACCGCATTTTCATACTGCAATAATTTTCTATTCACGCCAAAACAAAGAAACTGCTTCTACAGCTTGCCTCAAAAACAGGAATGCTGATATATTTGGATCCTATTGGTTATTTTGACCCAAACTGTCCTAATTTTATTAATTTCCTCAGGTTTGTCTAACAGTGAAGTCAGTATATATAACAATACTAGAAAGACCCTGCTGTTTTTAATCAATTTTGCACCATTATTAAAGGAACACTATAGTTAGGAGTACAAACGTGTATTCCTAATCGTATATTGTTAACAGACCATGTTAGGTGGTTGCCCCCCTCACTTACTCCCCTTAAATAAGTATAAAACACATTTTTGTTTCCAGCGCCCCTGGTTCTGTCGATTGCTGGCTCCACCTCTTGCTATCTCAGCCAATCCAATGTTTTCCAGAATTGATGATCTCAGCCAATCCAATGCCTTCCTACAGGAAAGCATTGGATTGGCTGAGATTGTCAATTCTGATGATCTCAGCAAAGAAGGCTGGGACTGGGCCAAACACAGCACTAGCCAATCAGCATCTCTTCATAGAGATGCATTGAATCAATGCATCTCTATGAGAAATGATCAATGTCTTGAAGGGTTTAAACTCTAAAATAAAAACCTGAAGACACCTCGTTTTATAATGTACCATTTAGTTTTTAAGCAATAACGATTTCAACATGAACAACGTGAAGACATCCAGCATTTGTTCACAGAGTTAAACTCTGTGAAACAGCAGGAAGTGCCTCTAGTGACTGTCTGGTGGACAGCCACTAGAGGCCGTCTTCACCCCTGCAATATCAACATTGGAGTGCATGTTCTGTGTGTGTCCCTTACCAAATACGTGTATATTTGTATATACATATTAGTATTTACATATTAGCCATCACAAGGCTTTGAATGAGCACACCACCCCTCTGCACACAAATTCTCCTTTGCTTTCAGAAACAGTAATGTTTTACATTGTCTGAATAAAGGAACAGGGTTTAGGCACCAAAACGGTATTATGAAATTAAGTCCTTACAATATTACACTTTGCTGTCGACAACGTCTGGATTTTAAAGAGTTTATACCAGCATATACTAGGTTGGCTATTTATTACTGTCAGCTTTACATAGCTCTGCAGCCATTAAATAATATTGCATGCTGACATAGATCATTATTGGTCCCTATGGGTTCAATCAACTCATGGGCAATGTAAGAGTTAGTTTAACTACAAGAAAGTAGCTCCTAATTCTTAGATTGTAAGCCAATTTTGGCAGGGCCCGCTTCACCTACTATTCCTGTATGTCATACCTGTTTTGTTCGAATTAAATGCTTGCCTTGTTTACCTATTGTACACCGCTGCGGAATATGTTAGAGCTATATAAATAATTGTAATTCACTGTATTGTTAACCACTTAACAGGTAGGAAAAGTGATGACATTTTATTAAATACATCAGTTTTCTTTGAAAGTGATATTTTATTGCACTTGTATTGGTAGTGTCAATGGTTCAGTCAAGCCAGTTTTTACTATATTATTTGAAAAATATTATATTTTCATCCAACTTAATGGTAGTCTTTTAATCAACCTTTAGAAGAACGAAAGGCTAAGTATCAGGAATCAAATCTGTGGCTCTGACAGTGCAGCTGTGTTCCTTAACCACTTGGCAAATAGCATTTTGGAAAAAGGTCGTAGTTGTTTACTTAAAGGGACACTCCAGGCACTCAGACCACTTCTGCCCATTGGAGTGGTCTGGGTGCCAACTCCCACGACCCTTAACCCTGCAAGTGTAATTATTGCAGTTTTCATAAACTGCAATATTTACATTGCAGGGTTAAGTCCTCCTCTAGTGGCTGCCTACTAGACAGCCACTAGAGGACACTTCCCTGTTCATAGAACACAGTGTTTTAAAACTACGCTGGACATCCTCACGCTATGTGAGGACCTCCAGCGTCGCCGAAATCCCCATAGGAAAGCATTATTCAATGCTTTCCTATGGGGAGGTCTAATGTGTGTGTGAGGCATTGCCGCACCTGCGCATTAGGTCTTCTCCGCCGTCAGCCGCGCATGCGCAATAGGAGCGTGGGCGCTGGATACAGGTAAGTCACTGAAGGGGTTTTAACCCCTTCAGCAACTTGGGATGGGGGTTGGGAGGGAGAGGGGACATGCAGTGCCAGGAAAACTGTTAGTTTTCCTGGCACTGGAGAGTCCCTTTAATTTTATTTAAAAAAAAAGGGATTCGGAAAAAATGCGAGGAATAAAGATAGTAAAAGATAAATTAAATACGAGCATGCAGTACACAGCTACCAACATGTTGAGCTAATATATTTTAACCAGCTGCCAATTCAGATAAACTTACAGGAAAATACTCTGAAATCCTTTAGTTCCCTTAGAGAGAAAAAAAACAGATTCATATTATTATAATGATAAACACACATAAATGAAAATTTTAAATCGACAAGTGTTGCAAAAAAAAAAAAAAAGATTTGTTAAACATTATGATAAAAATATTCTTTCCAGAAAATTAAACATGAAATAACCAAATATGAATTACTATGTTTAATACAAAAAGTGGGTTACTTTTTTTTGTAATGCTTAGAGCTGACAGCTGTTCAGTCTGGTCAAAGTTAGGAGGGAGAATTATATATATGCAGCTAGATCTCAGCATGCCATGCCACTAGCTTCTAAAACTTTAAGATGCCTGTGAGGTCCAAATGTTTTAATACAAAATATATAACAATCTACCTCACTCATATTAGAAAACACACACTGTTACATTACATAGAACACTGCTAGCACACTCAAACAATGGTTTGTTTAGGCAGCTCAGCACATTCAAAAGAAAACCCCAGTCACCATAACCACTTTATCTCAATGGAGTGGTTATGGTGCCTGTAGTCCTCTGGCACCATCTTACCTTCTATTGTTAATCCATTTTCTAACGTTGCCCTGTGGTAATGACCACAGTCCTAACATTAGAATGTCCCATGTATAATTTACACTATAGTAGTGGGACTGTCTATCTTTCTCAAAAGGAAACCCAACATGTCCAGTTATTTCATCATGGTTTAAATATTTATCATAGGTTTATTTGGTTATTTCATCATAGCTTTGAAGGTGTGGAATGTTGTCAAATAGTTGATGGTGACTGTACATTAAGTGAGTGCATGGGTCTATGACCTATGATTTGACAGCCAGTGGATGTGCAATCTGACTGTCAATTCTGTAGGCCACAGATGCGTCCATTTTGTTACCACTGAGAACTGAACATAAAAAATGGGAATCTGAAGATGGATACCTAAAATCTAGCTGTTAAGTTGAATTAAGGAGTTATTGTCAAACTATGTTATATTTGTATTTTCTTTCTATTAAACCAATCATTATTAAAGCAAGAATGCAAATGTTTTTTTATTTATTTATTTTTGACATTCCTTATTTTTGTTGTGCATTATATAACATACAAGCGTTGTTAGACATTTCACAGGAGTATAGATTTCAATGTATGTAGGGATGAAGGTGTGTCAGGATATGTAAAAAATACTGCACTTTTTATATTTAATGAGAAAAGACACCTGGAACACTAACTGAGAAAGAATGAGTAAAGATATAGATTAGAACAGTAGTTCGTTGCAAGATGTAAATAAAACTGGGAGATTAGTCTCAACTGCAGCAGTTGATCAAATCGGGCACTGTTACTGAATGATAACAACTAAGACCTGTCTAACATTGACAGCAAGATCTACACACTGGTAATCGTGACGCTTAATAAAGATTTCCTGCCCAAGATACACTTAAAAATAACAATAATGCCACCGGGCTCTTACTTGTAACTGCTCCTATACTGGAAATTGCATTGCACTTGTAAGGGTACCACAAGAATAACAGTCCCCAGCTAGAGTCCCCCAATCCACTTTGACCTCCACTGTGCCCAACAGAAAATCGTTATGAAAGTCCCCAGCATACTAACAGATCCATCAGAGTCCACTCCAGCAGCCCCAAGCTACATTCAAGACGGTATCTGGCACCCTCGGATCCGGTGCTTCAAGAAGCGATAATTGGCATTCCAGGGGAGGCCCGCATAGCATTCCCAGCACCAGCAGACCACTCTCCATGGTGTAGGGCTGCGTTGGGTAGATCCTCTCCACTAGGCTCGAGCATCAGGTGAATGTGAGTGGCAACCAGTCTCGAATGATGGGTGTGCGGTGAAATGTTGCCTAAAGCCGTCACCTCCAAGCTGAGGTATGTAGATGCCATGTAGGATTTGCTTGGGTCCGAACAAAGCTCAGGCGTCGCCATGAGACTGCACAAAACAGCCGTTCCACAGGGTAGATGAGAGATTGGATCTCACAGGGGCTGCTGCGGTGGCCATCATGGATTACCAGCACCGGGCACTGGTTGTAGGCCCTAACGATGTCTGCTTCAAAGCCCTCCAGTGGGGACCGGGATAACCTCCACCAGTCCAAAGGGGAGGGAGGGGAATGGGACCAAAGAAATGGAGTGTCAGGAGCCAGTGCATAGCGATCAAGTTTGAAAGCAGGGCAGCGGCTGCCTACTGCACCCGCAGGCTGAGTAGGCCTCATGTCTGCAATTCGACCTCTGGAGCTTCACAGCACCCGTCCCAGGGCACATCAGCAGGCCAGGCAGCCACTTGCGTTACTTTCAGTAGTTATTTTAATTCTGGCAGAGATTTCTCTGTTTAATCATCGAATAAAGGCCAGAACCATCAGAATCTGTTCTGACATGCCACCGGGCCAGCATGGCGGTCTGTCCCTGTTATTTTATTTTTTATCAGTGCATGATGACAGTGGCACAGGCTAAACATTGAGATGGTTTCACCACTAGGTGGCACTGACTGAAATGAGACATGGCACTGTTCTTAAAGTACAGCGCTGCAGCTCAGCTTCACCACTGAGTGTCACACTCAGAAAGGAAATATGAATTACTGTCACACAATCCCATGCAGTAAATTATATAATATGAAAGTAAAGCAATATGTATTAGAAGATTTATCATTTCTACACAGGTCTTACACTTGATTTAAAACTAAGGAAAATTATATGTTTGTCGTGTGAAATAATACCCCTTTTTATGCCGGACAATGCCTTAGCAACTGTTACCTGACATTACCCATTGTCGTCATGTCTTTAGTCAATAAATATTTCCAAGTCATTCTCTTTTAACCCCTTAAGGACATAGGCAATTGTACAAGTTTTGACCCAAACCAGAACAAACTAGAATTTGACTATAGGTCGGTCCAACCGTAATTTATATCTTTCATATTAAGTGTACCCACATTTATTATATATCATTCTCTTCAATAGAAACAGGGCTTTAATTTCACATCAAATATTTATACATGAAACATAATTTAACATGAATATATTGTAAAAAGAAAAATGTGAGAAATTTAGAGATGTTATTATTCCAAATTCTGAATGGCATTTTAACTTTGAATGTCATTATACTGTTCGCTTTCATTGCAATTAAATACACATATTTGTATGTTGTGATGTCCCATGAGTACAACAAGTCCCCTCAGTCTCAGAGAGAACTGGGACTAAAAAAAAAGTGTCACCACCTCAATATGTAAGTCATTTATTTAACAAGACTAAGAAGAGATACAAATAAGAAAACTTTATTAAATATAATGAGGTATCAGTATGCCACAAAAAATAATAATAAAAGAACCCCCCCAAATAAAATAAAAAAACAGATATACACAAAATTGTGAAGTGTTGTCACAAAACAGTGAATTAAAATAGGGAACCAATACGCCTCAAAACTTTGGATTTGTCGATAATATAGATTCCAGAGAGTCCTCAATTATATCATTAGAATCAATGAATATCACCCATTTGTCAAATGTTATATTTAGAGGATACTTGGACTCTGATTAGACTATCCAGCTGGTCCCCCGACTAGGTACCTCCGCCAAACACGCCTACTAGCTATCGCCAGGACACCATCAGCACTTCAGCCCGCAGCTTGGCTGGGGTCTCGCCATTGCTTCCCACCCAGGAACAGGGTCCTGGATCCAGCTTCCAGTGATCAAAGCTCTCCTGCAGAGAGTATAGCTGTGTACTGATTATAGCTGTTATAGCATTCCCCCCCACACATCAGCTGAGACTGAATGCTGGGAGTAGATCTGTTTAATACAGGAAATCACTCTCAATTTATACACACAGTAAAATACTCCCTGTGACTGAGAGATAATTGAGTCAGGAACTGTACAAACTCAATTATCTTCCAGGTACAGAAAAGTATAACAATTTTTAAACACCCCAAAAGTACCCCAAAAAATACATGGAACTCCCTCAAGAGTCACTTCCCTGGATAGCCCTGATCTGAGTACCTATCATATCAAAAAAACACTCAGATCGTTTTGGTGGTTTGGGATTTCCATCGAGGTAAACTTTTGACCTGCTGTCCACGAGGTAAAAGCCCCAAATAGTTCCAGAGAAATCATGGCAACGGCCGGTCTCCATTCGTGGACTTCCATACGAAAACCACACACTATAGACGAATGATTTCAAGTGTTGAATGCTCACCCCATTCGGTAGTTTGTATCTCCCGTTCATATGGATGGTTGGGAACTTGAACGTGCAGCAGTTACATTGTCACAGGTGTTCGCCAGAGTGCATATCCGAAATCAGTTCCAGGTACTTGACGACCAAACACCGTTCCCTTTGTTTGTGCAACAAGATGCGCCAACTCAGGTCCCACGTGTTCGTGCATACGAACGGTGGCCACCCAGCCGAACACTTAGAATACTGAGGTGCCAATCGATTATGGAGGTGTCAGGAGAGTTTAATAGAGGTTAACAAGCCCAGAGGTGGTTTGCAATATGTTGGTTTGTTCGGTTCCCGAACTGAAAGGGAAAACACACGAACCAAGTATTTTATGGGTCGGTTACATGGCCCATAGTCCTTGGGTAGGAGGCAAACGAGCAGGCTCTTCCAGGAGCTTGTGGCATCGGCACATTTGCCACATATCTCCCCCCCCAAGGGAAGACTAACCAGGTACCAGACCTCCTGCAGTTCTGTACCTGAGTTAGTCAAGAAACCCGCCCATAAACACCTAGCTTACCTGGTAGCCTTCTGTGCCATGCTCTGCCCTGGTAGGTCCACTTTGTCGTGGGTGTAGTGTCTGTCATTCCTGGTGTCTCCTGATAACTGGCACTGCCGCTGGGGAGTGAAACCAGTTGTCTCCACTCCCTGTAGGGTATACTGTCGCTGGGAGAGAGACCGGTTGTCTCAACTCCCTGCAGAGTACACTGCCGATGGTGAGTGAGATCGGATGTCTCCACTCCCTGCGGGGTACACTGCCGCTGGGGAGTGAGACTGGTTGTCTCCACTCCCAGTAACTCCAGCTGTGGTTGGGGAAAGGGACTGGTTGTCGTCTCTCCCTGCAAGGTACACTGCCACTGGGGAGTGAGCCCGGTTGTCTCCACTTCCTGTAACTCCAGGTGTGGTTGGGGAGAGGAACCCGTTATATCTTTTCCCTTGAACCCCGGCTGCTCTAGCTTCCACTCCAGGGTGGCCAGATGGGTCAGATCCGGCCCCAGGTCAGCAGCTCCATGAAAATCCATCACAACTTCCCTAGTACCCAGAGTCTAAACTCTGCAGTACTCTCAAAATCAATGTCATCCCTAAAGACCTCCCACAACAGGCCAGGGCCATTATAGTCCTCACCCTCTGGCACATCATCCTCAGCCATTCACTGGTCAAGTTGGGCTGGTACCACTCTAGTACACAATAAGCCTCGTTCACCCACAGCTCCTTCCAGACCAGGTCCTCACGTACCGTTACCCACTTCTCCAGGGGCTGCTCTCCCAGGAAAGGCATCCGCAAAGTCACTTGTCCCTGTAAAACCAATTGGGATTGCCATAGAGGTAAACTTTTGACCAGCCGTCCACGAAGTAGTTCCAGAGAAATCTTGGCAACGGCGGTCTCCTTTTGTATAGGTGGGCAGGAACTTAAACAGGCAGCAGTTCCATCGTCACCGGTTTTCGCGAGAGTGCCTATCCAAAATCAGTTCCAGGCACTCGACGACCAAATACAGCTGCCTGCATTCATGCAACAAAATGGCCGCCAACTCAGTTCCCACGTGTTTGTGCATACGAATGGCGACCTCCCAGCCAAACACAGAATACTGAGGTGCCAACCGATTATGGAGGTGTCAGGAGAGGTTAATAGGGGTTAACAAGCCCAGAGGTGGTCCGCAATTCTTGAGTTTGTTCGGTTCCCGAACTAAAAGGGAAAACACATGAACCAAGTATTTTATAGGTCAGTTCGTGACATAGGCACATTTGCCACACCAGCAAAATTGTAATCTAAGAATACTTCAAAACACAGTTATCAGCAAACTGGTTTTGAAACGGTGTAGCAAAGTAGAT